AAACTGTGACAGGCGCCCATTGACTGCTCCTCCTCCTGGTTCTGTAAGTAGTATAAGTAGACATATCTCTACCATAATTGAGGTATATATTGCTGTTATTGTCAGGAACGTGTGCACACCATGTGATAGGAATATGATCTCTACCTTGAGCCAAACTAGGCTCAACAAATCTCAGCATGCTCAGTGAGCATGAGCAGAACATTTGCTGTTCTTGGGTACTGAGAATTGATCAGAGTACCTCCAAATTCTTGCGCATGAGTCTGCTCATAAGGGAGATTCTACAACATTAGAAAGTATGGTGTATCTATGCCTCTGCTTGGAAAGATTAGTACTAACATAAGTCGAATGTAAGCGTGGTTCAAGGATACTGTATTCTGCTGGGCATTTCTCCAATGCCATAGCTAAAGCTAGAGACTTGAGTTCTGATTAGATTAGTATACCTTTCTACGCATGTACCTATAACATCAGGGTGCACAGTATTCATAAGGGAAACCAAAGAATGGCAAGAAAATGTCTTACTAGCTTTATAGAAAGAGCTGGTCTAGTATTGTAGGTCCATTTTCTCAAGAAAGAGATGGTCAAAAGCTAGCAATCACTAATGATATAAACCCTCCTCTATGGCTAGATATATGTGCAAGAATATGGAGGTATGCTGATCAATTCCAAGCACCTAAGAATAGCAAATGTTCTGCTCATGCTCACTGAGCACGCTGAGATTTGTTGAGCCTAGTTTGGCTCAAGGTAGAGATCATATTCCTATCACATGGTGTGCACACGTTCCTGACAATAACAGCAATATATACCTCAATTACGGTAGAGATATGTCTACTTATACTACTTACAGGACCAAGAGGAGGAGCGGTCAATGGGCGCCTAAACACGGGCGTTCGAATACTTTCCACGACCACGAGTACATTTCCAGTATCGCAAGACCGTGCCACAACTGGCGCTTCAGGCAATGTCCGCAATCCTGTAGGATATTTTTACACTTTTGCTGATGCCAGCCTAGTGCTGGTATTTGTGGAACATGTTGGCTTTCGGGCGCTCTGTGAGCGATTACGCTCGGCAATGTCCGCTATCAATAAGGTTTTTGTATACAGTGTTAGGACTGTGCCGCCGGAGTTCCGGAGTTACGTGGTTAGGAGTCGGAGCTGGGTGGACACGGGGTGAGGACTACGGCAAAGCTATTAGCAACACCCTGAGGATCCCAACGGTGTCCTTGATTTCGGAGTCAGAGGTCGGACGGAGAACGGGCGGAGATTGGACGGAGATCGGGTAGAGGTCGGACGGAGACAGAGAGAGTAGATTGGAGTAATATAACCGACAGAGTACAAGCGGAGTGTAAGGTAACGAGATATCCGAACTGAGGAACGCCACACTAAGTCCGGGGGTTTATATACTAAGGAGTTGGTGTCCCCTAAGTCCGAATCGGAGGTGGAGGTCCAATCGGAGGTGGCGGAATACCAACGCTAAGTGGAGAAGTGATGTAAGTGGTGCCAGGCACTGATATGGGAAAACGGACATTCCAGCGTGAATAGGGTAGACGCTCGGAAAGCCATATGAGCCCCGGCGGGGAGCGGAAAGGAAACAGAGAGAGAATTGAAACCAGTACGTAAGTGTCTATTTGTAAGCAAGTCCGGAGGTCCGGCGGAGTTAGCACGGTGTCCGACGGAGTTCCGGAGGGACTTAGGCATGTGACGTAACAGTATCCCCCCCTTAGGGCCGAGCCCCCGAGGCCTTTGGTATCGTACGGAGCTCGGAGTCCGGGGACCGGAACGGATCAAGTGCGGAGTTCAGCAAAGTTGCAACGGAGGACGTGGGAAAGTGAGCGGAAAAAGAAGCCAGCTTAATCAGCAATGTTTAGGGCAAGCGGAGTCGGGGAGCGGAGCATCTATAAAAGTCGGGGTGCTGCAGGTCCGGTGCTGCAGGTATCGCCTAACCCCACTATACTCGCTGCCCCCCATTTTTTCTAAGTCGTACACCATGCCCGGAACTCCGCCCATCCAAAAACAGCAATAGCTGCTCGCCCAGCTCGCGGCAATGCGATAGCAGATCCGGGGGAGCGGCAGTGGGCGGAGAAGGAGCGGGCGGAGAAGAAGTGGGCCCGGAAGCCTACATCGGAGCGCGTCGAGTCCCCCCGGAGTTCCCCAGAGGCCGGCTCCAGCAAACGCCACCGCAACAACGACAATGCCGACGACAACGACGACAACGACATCGTCGACATCACGCCCAAGCGGAAGCGGGCTCAGATGGAGACCGTGTGGGCTCCAGCCAAGTAAGTCCAGGGTTCCACTTTCAGAGTTGTACTGACTTGTTCTTGCAGAAAAGCCTGCGCCAAGTGCGAGGAGAAGAGGATTGCCTGCCTCTTCTCTGTGGGCCGTTCGCGCGCCCGGGCCTGCCAGGCCTGCATGAGGTCCAAGACCAAGTGCACCGGGGGTCAGCAGGCGGACAAGACCCCCGCCGTCGTCATCTCCGACGACGAGCCCCTGGTGACTCCCGCCGGTCCGTCCACTCCCCGCAAGAAAGCGGCCCCGGCGGAGAAACCGACGGAGAAGGCGGGGCCTGCACTCAGGCCTTCGTCCAAGGCCCGGGGGAAGAAGCGGGAGACAACGGCGGAGCGGGAGGAGAGGGAGCGGAAGCAGAAGGAGCTCGAGCGGAAGGAGAAGGAGATCGCCGACGCAACGGCCCCTAAGGAGGCCGATCTCCCTTTCAGCCGGCGTGCGCAGAGGGAGATTACGATCCTCAAGACCCTCCGCTATGCCATGTTGGAGATCCAGCAGTTCCGGGAGGAGTTGGAGGTACTCCGGCGCGAGATGCGCCTTACCCGCGGCGCGATCTCTGACCTGGCCCAGAGCCGGGAGGGGATCTACCAGGAGTACTTCGGCGGAATTGCCGACCTCCTGGAGGGGGAGCCCTCTGATGGCGAGGGGCACCCGGAGTCGGACCCGGACTGGGGGGAGATGGAGAGGTTCAGCATGGGGAGTCCGGATTGGGAGGTTGGGTCGGAGGCGGAGCATGGGCCGGAGTCGGAACAGGAGCAGGAGGCGGAAGGAGAGCCGGAGCAGGAGTAGGAGTAGGGGTATAGGCACGGACACAGTAGCGTAGGCAGGCCCCTGTAAAGTGGTAAAGGGTCATCTCTTTCTTGTCAAGTATCTGTGTGCCTCAATGTCTGTTTATACGGAGTTAGTCAGTGACAGACGGAGTCCGGGGTACTTAGCGGTTCAGAGTTCCCACAGCGGACCGGGTTTGCCTGGGTACGTGGAGTGAAAGTCCGAGACGAGTTCCTGTGCATGTCCGAGTTCTGTAGCAAGGATCCAGGAGGTTTCTTCGTCGATGCCCTCGTATCTGGCCCACCGGACTTTGTACAGGAGTTGGCACTTCCGTTGGTGTTTGTCCAGCTTTGAGTCAAGGATTTCCGCGACCTTGTATTCAAGTTCTCCGTCGACCTCGACCGGAGGTGGCAGAGTTTGTACTTGGTCCGGAATGGTGTTCGGAGTTGCGGGTTCCAGCTGGGAAACATGGAAGACGGGGTGCACTGCTCGCATGGAGTCCGGAAGTCGGAGGGTAAACGAGTGCGATCCGACTTGAGCGATGATGGGGAAGGGCCCAAGGAACTTTTCGGAGAGCTTCTTGGAGGGGCGAGTGGAGCGGATGTGCTGTGCCCAGACATAGGCCAGGTCTCTGACGCGGAAGTCCGGGGTCGGTAATCGGTGTTTGTCCGCTTGAATCTGGTAGCGGGCTTGGGCCTCAGAGATGTGCTGTCGGAGTTCCGCATGGAGTTTGTCCAGGTCGATGGTAAATTTGAGTGCTCGGCCAGAGGTGATGTCACGCTCCAGGTGGACCACAAGACCGGGGTGGTATCCCTTGTTAGCGCAGAACGGAGAGATGCTGGTTGTTGCGTTCAGAGCATTGTTGTAGGCGAACTCCGCGAGCGGAAGGAGACGGGCCCAGTTGTCCTGCTGGTAGTTGCAGTAGATCCGGAGATATTGCTCGAGGGTTTGGTTGACACATTCCGTCTCGCCATTGCCCTCGGGGTGGTACCTGGAGGTGAAGTGGAGATTCATGTCGAGGATAGTACCGAGGGAGCGGAAGAAGTGGGACACAAATTCTGAACCACGGTCGGAGGTAACGTGAAACGGAACTCCGTGCTTGGAGAAGACGTGTTTGAGGAACAGTTCCGCGAGTTCCAGGGCATCGAGCGTGTTGTGCGTCGGAATGAAGATGGCCTGTTTGGAGAGTAGGTCGACGATAACCAGGATGTCCATGAAGCCGTCGGAGTTTGGTAACTGCTCAATGAGGTCCATGGAGATAGAGTTCCACTGGCGCTCCAGAATCGGGAGTTGCTTGAGTGTTCCATAAGGGAGGTGACGGGGAGCCTTGGATCGCGCGCAGGTGGTACAGGACTTGCAATAGTCCCGGACAAAGAGTCAGAGTCCGGGCCAGGCGTATTCCCGGAGGACCAGGGCTTGAGTCTTGTTCTGGCCCTAGTGACTGGCGGTCGGGTGGTCGTGGTAGGCCTGGAGGACTCAGAGACGGAGGTCGTCAGAGTCCGGTACGTAGATTCAGCCGTTGAGCTGGAGGAACCCTTCTGAATCCTTGGACCAATGGGGGTTGCCTTGGGAGGCCGACTTGAGGGCTGCGGCGAGTTCTGGGGATGGGGTATCGGAGTTCTGGGCTGCTCGGATGTCGGAGCGGAGTTTCTCAGCGTCAAAGAGCACGGAGGCTCGGAGTACTGGTTCTTGGAGATATGTCGCTCGGAGGGACACAGCGAGTTGCTCCTGGGTGAACACTGGCCAGAAATTGTGTGGGTTGACGGCGGAGTAGTCACTATCCCCCCCTTTTGGGTAGACGTCCCAACGGCGGGTCAGTGCGTCGGGCTTAGCCCCAAGTTTTCCGGGACAGAACTGGATGACCAGGTTGAACTGCGACAGGAATTCCGACCACCGAGCCTGGCGCCGGGTCAGCATTTTGGAGGTCGCGAAGTACTTCTGATTCTTGTGATCAGTGACGACGTCGATCGGAGTTCTGGAGTCTTCAAGGTAGTGCCGCCAGGTCCGGAAGGCTTCGTAGATTGCCAGGAGTTCCTTGTTGTGTGTGTCGTAGTTCAGTTCCGCACCGGACGAGGTCCGGGAGTGGAAAGCGACAGGATGGAGTTCACCGGAGTCAGTGGTGATGGAGAGAATTCTGGCGATGGCGTAGTCCGAGGCGTCCGTTTCAACAGTGATCTGCCGGTCCGGTTTCCAGTGGTGGAGCACGGGGGCGGAGGTGAAGGCCTGCTTCAAGGCGTTGAAGGCCTTCCGAGCATCGTCGGAGAAGTTCCACGGAACGGTTTTCCAGGTAAGCCGGATCAGCGGAAGGACGATCTCGGAGTAGCTATGGATGAACCTCCGGTAGAAGTTCGCAAAACCTAGGAACGACTGGATGTCGCGGACTTTCCGGGGTTCCAGCCAGTCCATGATTGCCTTGACCTTAGAGTCGGCCATAGTGAGGCCTTCGGAGGAGAGGATGTATCCGAGGTACTCGACGGAGTCTGCGTGGAATTTGCACTTGTCCACGTGGACATAAAGCTGATGCTTCCAGAGACATCGGAGCACTTCTCGGACATGTTTTCGGTGATCTGCCAGATTGTCGGAGTAGATGAGGATGTCGTCGAGGTAGACCACTACGCAGATGTCTAGCAAGTCCGTGAAGACCTCATTGACAAAGCGTTGGCACGCTGCAGGGGCGTTGGAAAGTCCGAACGGCATTACGAGCCATTCGAAGGATCCGTAACGGGTCCGGAAGGCGGTCTTCCACTCATCTCCGGGCCCGATTCGGACCAGGTTGTAAGCGTGCCGGAGATCAATCTCCATATAGATCCGAGCCTTTCGGGGAGAGTCCAGGAGGTCGGAGATCAGAGGGAGCGGGTAACGGTCCTTCCGGGTAATCTTGTTGAGCCCACGGTAATCAACGCAGAGTCGCAGAGACCCGTCCTTCTTCTTGACGAAGAGGACTGGAGCTTCGCACGAAGAATTGGTCAGGCGGATGAAGCTGGAGCGGAGGTTCTCGTCAATGTATTCTTGGGGGGTGTCCAGTTCCAGCTGCGAGAGGGAGTAGATGGGACCGAGCGGAGGTACCGCACCTTCCTCGAGGGTGATTTTGAGGTCGTAGGGGCGGTGCTCCGGAAGAGTGTCAGCCTTTGTCTTGCTGAAGACGTCCGCGAACTTGTGGTACTCCGCCGGAATATTGGAGAGGTCCAGGACGGAGTCGGAGGTGGCGGAGTTCCTGGCGAGAACCTCGGCCGCCAAAATGGAGGACAGATTGAGCGTGAAGCTCTCGGATCCTGGCAGCTTGCAAGCGCGGGCAAATGCCACGGCGTTCACAAGTGAGACCTGCGGGGCAGAGGATGAAGACGGAGGTTCTGGAGGTGCCGGAGGCGGAGACCGGAGTTCGGGTTCGTCAGATACAGAGGCGGAAGGATGTACCGTCGGCACGGTCCGGAACTGGATGCTGTGCTTCTTCTAGTCAATCAACGGATTGTAGGCGGAGAGTCAGCTGTATCCCAGAACGGCGGAGACAGATTTGTCGAGCGGAGTGACGTAGAAGTCTACGGACATGATTTCCCTGGAGGGGAACTGCAGAGTGAGCGAAACTTCTCGGGTAATTACCTGGTTGGAAGTCCCGTCGAATAACCGGAGAGCGATCGGAGAAACGGAGTGAGACGGAAGTCCAACAGTATCAACAAATTCAGAGTCTAAGAAACAATGAGTGGAACCGCTATCGATCAGGGCCTTGAACGGCTTCGGAGAGGATTTGGAGTACAGGTCGACAATAAGGGATGAGGGATCGGAAAGAGCGGATGCATTAAGACGGACTTGGATCTCCATGCTGGCATCGTCAACGCAGTTTCTGCCAGGCACGGGGTTGGGGAAACTGCAGACTAGTTTTTTGCCCCTTCCGGAGCCGGGGTTTCGGCACCCGGAGTTGGCTCGGCTTAGGCTGCTCTGTCCTTCGTCGACGGAGTCGTCTTCTTGGGGCAAGCACTCGCGGAGTGTCTGGCTCCTCCACAGAAGAGGCAGAGGTTTCCTGCCAGACGGCATTGTCGTTCCTCCGGGGTGAGTTTTCTGTCCTTACCGAGCTTGTCCGCGTACGGCTTCGGGGTGGACAAGTCCACGGACTTCGGTTTTGAGTTGGACTTCGGAGTGGAGCCGGACTTGCTGGACTTACCATCAGAGGACTTCTGGGGTGCATGAGGAGTCGACTGGGAGTTTGAGGACGAGCGGGGTTCAGAGTGGTTAGACCCGGAGCCAGATTTGGAGCCAGACTTGGAAGAACCGGGAGTTTCACGGTTGTGTTCGGCCTTCCGCTCCCAATACCGGTGGTCCAGGCTCTGGGCGAGGACACAGAGGTCCGAGAGGTTGTCGGGCTTGCCTATCTCAGAGATGCGGTCCTTGAGGCGGTCCAGGAGTCCGCGGTAGAACTGGTATCGGAGGGTGTCGTGACCCCAGCGGACTTCGTAGCAATACAACTGAACTGGGTGATATACTTGGCGATCTGCTGGTTTTCCGCCATTCGGAGGTTCTCGAGCTCGTGTTCTGCAGCTCCGGTGGCATTGTAAGGTCCGAAGTTCATTCGGAGTTCTTCTTGGAACACCTCGTAGTCCGACATGAACGCCGGGGGCGTCCCAGAGGAGTTCTCTAGGAGGTAGGGTTCGAACCATTGGAGAGCGGTGCCCTTCAGGAAGGAGATCACATAGGTGACCTTCTTCTCATCCATGTTGAAAGTCCGAGGCCGAGCCTTGAAAACCAACTCCAGCTGGATAAAGAATGATCAGAGCTTGGCTGGCTCCGACCCATCGGATTGGTCTGGGTCGCGGACGTTGCCACACTCCGAAGACAGCGCCGTTTGGTTGAAGTTTGCAGCGGCCGGAATCTGGAGCATCTGAGCAAGGAGGCTGATAGCCTGCGCTAAGTCCGCGGTCGGTGTCGATGATGCTTGCGGAGTTGTCGTCGGGTTTACGAGCGGGTTTCCCGCAGGTCCGGCCGAAGGTTGCCTCATGAACATGGGGATGGCGAAGGGGTTATTCGGAGAATGTCGGGGAAGAGGAGCGGATGTCGGGTGTGGAGTGGTGGGCAAGGACCGGGTCACAACATGGTTTTGGGTCAGAGATTCCGAAGAGGAAGTCCCAAGCGGGTTGGGAACGCATTGAGCCGTGAAGCCCCTGAAGGTGTCATCGGAGTCGGACATCGGGATCTCAGGTTGAGTTCAGATATACTGTTAGGACTGTGCCGCCGGAGTTCCGGAGTTCCGGGGTTAGGAGTCGGAGCTGGGCGGACACGGGGTGAGGACTACGGCAAAGCTATTAGCAACATCCTGGGGATCCCGACGGTGTCCTCGATTTCGGAGTCAGAGGTCGGACGGTGTCGCGGCGACTAGGCGCGTAGACTCGGATCGTCGTTCGGCGACGACCTCGTAGGCGAGCGGCGAGGAACTGAAAGGGGAGACGAGAGGGTAAGAGGGATAAACGTATCAGAAAACTCGACGGGGCAGAGCGGCGGTCGGCACGAAGGCACGAGACCGACGAAAGCTAGTCTTCACGCAACCAGCGACAGACTAGTCCCAATGACCAAGTTATACATTAGCACTCGAAGGGAAGTACAACACTATGGTCACTCACCTAGTCCCAATGACCAAGAGGTCAAGATGGGGACTAGGGAGCGCCTAAGGGGGTCCTTATATACTAGAGGGGCTGCTTAGCAACCAAGGACAAGGCGCGAGAGCGAGGCAGTGAAGATGACACAGAGAGAACAAAGGGCGAGAAAGAAAAGGCAAGGGCATGACGATCACGGGAACGTAGCATGCGGGTGTGGGAACGTATCTACAGTGTCCAAACTGGGATGGGCTAAGAAAGGAAATGGTCCAAAAATGGAAGGTGGGCGTCAAGGGGAGGGGAATGGGCGGCAAAAAGGGGTGTCTGTCCAACGTCCGTGACATTACCCCCCTCCTAAGGTCCGTCGGTCCCCGATGGACCCTAGGCCGGGGTGTCGTCCAGAAGCCCATTCAAGATCAGAGGGTGCAGAGGTGGTGAAGTTGATGAGAGGTTGCCAGGGGAGGGATTGGAATATAGAGGCTGCAATTCGACGTGGGGCGGTGGGGTTACGTTCGTGAAACTCGTCGATCAATTCTTGGCAGTGAGTGAGGTCCTTCGCGGGTTCCCAACTGTTCTGGCCTTCATCATAGCCTTTCCACTTGACCAGGTATTGGAACTGGTTATGGTACGTGCGGCTGTCTTCAATCTTTTCGACCTCGTACTCGAGTTCCCCTTCGACTTCGACTGGTTCCGGTGGGGGCGGAAGTATGCCGTTGACATCGTTGCCCGTCCAGGGTGTGAGGCGGTTGACGTGGATGACGGCGTGTTGGTTCTGCATGGAAGGGGGGAGTTGAAGTCGATACGTGAGTTCGCCCGTGCGTTCCAAAACCTCATACGGCCCCAGTCGTCGGGGTCCGAGCTTGCGGCTGGCCTGATGGGTGGTAACGTCCCGTGAATCCATCCAGACACGGTCTCTAGGCTTGAACTTGTGGGGTTTTGGCTTATCGCGCTCGAACGACTCCTTCATAGCTGCCTTCTCCATCCAAAGGGCTGCCTCCGCATCCTTTTGCACCTCACGCCACAGTTCTAAGCGCTTGTCCAGCGCAGGGAACTTGGTGGGGGCGCCAATGGGCACCGTGAAGTTGGTGGGGGCGCCAATGGGCACCGTGAAGTTGGGCTGGTAGCCGTAGATGATCTCGAAGGGGGAGACTTGGAGTCCGGAGTGGACGTGGTTGTTGAGCACGAACTCCGCGGTCGGTAGGTGAGCCACCCAGTCGTCCTGTCGTAGGTTGGAGAAGAGCCGTAAGTGTTTCTCTACCTCCTGGTTTTCCCGTTCGGTCTGCCCATTGGACTGGGGGTGATAGGCGGTCGTGAGCGCATGTTGGATTCCAAACTTCTCGTACAAGGCCTTCATGAAGTGTGCGGCGAACTGAGGTCCTCGGTCCGACACCACCTTCTCCGGTACTCCGTGGAGACGGAAGATCTCACGATAGTGGATATCGGCGACTCCCTCTGCAGTGACGTCGATCATGGTGGGTAGTACGTGGACCTGTTTGCTGTAGTGGTCACTGTAGACAATGATCGTGTTGTATCCTTGCACGGGGGGAAGTCCAGTGATGATATCCACTCCCATTGTCTGCCAGGGACCTTCTGGTACATCGTGGGGCTGGAGCGTGCCTCGAGGATGCCGAGGGGCTTTTCGGCGCTGGCAAGTGTCGTGGCCTTTGATGTACTTACCCACAAACGCGTCTCGCTGTGGCCACCAGTAGAGGCGACTGACCAGCTCTATCGTCCCATTCCGTACAGGATGTCCTGCAGTGATCGCGTTGTGGCACAAGAAGACGACCCGTTTACGAAGATCTTTACCAGGGGGGATGTAGAGCTTCCCATGCCGATAGATGAGGTCGTCGCGCACTTCCCACTCCAGGAGTCCATTTGCCAGTTTCCGGGGGCCCTTCTCCTTGAGGATGCAGAGAGCCTCGACTACTTCAGGGTCGAGTACCTGCACGTCTCGAATCTCCTGCTCCAGGGTGCTCGTGTCCGTGAGTGTGGCTGACAGAGAGACGAACCGCTCAGGTCCCAGCACGATCTGATCTCGGTTGTCCTCTGCGTCCGTAGTCTGGTGGGTCGGGAGGCGAGAAAGGGGATCGGCTTGGGTGTTCGTCTTGCCAGGCTTGTGCGTGAGGCGAAAGTCGAAGCGGCTGAGGTATAGAGACCACCGAGCCTGTCTACGGGTGAGGTTCCGTGCAGTGCGCCAGTACTCCAGATTACGATGATCCGTGACGATCTCAAAGGGTTCGGGGAGCCCTTTGAGGTAGTGTTGCCAGTCCTCGAGAGCACGGATAATCGCTAGCATCTCTCGGTCGTAGATCTCGTAGTTCCATTCCGCTTCAGCCATCGACTCAGACCGGTAGGCGACCGGGTGCCAGAGGTCGTCGCCCAGCTTCTGGAGTAGTACACCTCCAGTCGCAAAGCCCGAGGCATCTACTTCGATCCGCGTGGGCCGCGCCGGATCCCAGGAGACCAACACGGGCTCGCTCGTAAACGCATCCTTGAGGGCTTAGAAGGCGAGTCACTGCGCGGTTCTCCAGGTCCAGGGAACATCCTTCTTGGTAAGGTCGTTGAGCAGCCGCGCGAGCTTGGAGAAGTCCTGGACGAAACGACGGTAGAAGTTGGCGAACCCTAAGAAGCCGCGCAAGTCGCGCAGATTCTTGGGGGCTGGCCACTCGGTGACGGCCTTGACCTTGACCGGGTCCATGGCCACTTCACCTTCGCAGATGATGAGGCCGAGGTACTCTACCTCCGTCTTCTCAAACTCGCACTTCTCTGGTCGCAGGTAGAGATCGTGCTCCTGGAGTCGCTTCAGTACCTCATGGGTTACAGCACGGTGCTCTTCGAGGGTTGTGCTAAAGATGAGGATGTCATCAAGGTAGACAGCGACCTTTCCTGCGGCAATCAAGTCAGCGAAGATCGAGTTCATTAGGGTTTAGAACGTGGCAGGGGAATTGGTAAGTCCGAACAGCATAACCCGCGGTTCGAATAGGCCTCTGTCGTGGACCGTAAATGTGGCCTTCCACTTGTCGCCCTCCTTGATGCGGACGTTGTGGTAGCCCCAACGGACATCAGACTTGGTGAAGTACTTGGCCTGGCGCAGGCGACTGATGATGTCCGAAGCAAGGGGGAGAGGGTACCGATTCTTCACCGTAATCTTGTTGAGCTTGCGATAGTCCTGGACTAGGCGGAGTTTGCCATCTTTCTTCTTCACAAAGAAGACTGGGGACGCCATCGGAGACTTGGAGGGAACGATGTAGCCTTTCCGAAGGTTTTCCTTGATCCTTGAGGAACCGATCGACCTCCTCCTGCTCGTTAGGCGACGTCGGGTAGGCCTTAGAGTGTAGAGTTTCTGGGGCATCGGGTTTGAGGTCGATGGCATGGTCATACGGCTTGTGCTCCGGGAGGTGTTCCGATTCTGTCTCAGAGAACACCTTCAAGTACTGTCAATACTCCTCTGGGACGATCTCCTCAAAAGTGTGTTTGGGCTTGTCCTGGTTGGCCTTCCGTGCAAGCTCGGTGGAGTAGGTGTACCCGGCAGCCCACCACAACTCCTCGGTTGTGTCCTCCAAAACCTTGGCCTTCCACCATTTCCTTCGCTGCACCCGGTTGGCGGCGATCCGCTCAATACCAGGTTTCCAGTCTGCCTCGGCCTCCGTTTCCTCCGCACCAACCTCCATGGTGCCTTCCTGCCAGTCAATGTCCGGATTGACTCTACGAAGCCAAGGTAAACCTAATACGATGTCCTCAGGGCCCAGATCTATAACTAAGAACTTGAGCCATTCTATGTAGTCGCCCATAAGTACTTGTAACCTAACGTAATGGGAGATGCTGCCTGCACTGTTCTTGGAGCCGTCGATGTTGTAGAGGGGGATGTCTCTAGCTAGCCTATGTAAATAAATGTTGTTCTTTTTTACGAAATGGTGACTAATGAAAAGGGCTGTTGCCCCACTGTCTATCATAGCTACGGAACATATACTACGGTTTCTGCCCTTAAGTATCACACTGACACGAAAATGCGAGCCGGACGGGTTTAATTCGGGGATGATACACGAACTAATGCTATCGTACACGCAGGGGTCAGGGATCTCGGGAGGTGGAGAGTCCGTAGTCGTACAGGAGGGCGCCGCTGCGGCAGCTTTTGCACGCGCCCGCTCTAAAAAGACTTCTGGAGGGAGGCAAGCTGATCGGCGAGGGCCTTGTGCTGCTCCATGAGCTGCGCGATGAGGGAGTTGGTTGCTCCAGCATCTGCAGACGTTGATGTTGATGCTGCGACTTGGGGCTCCTCAGGTCCCTCCTCCGTGGCGGCGAGCCTCTGTGAGCAGGGCTTCTTTAGGAACTTGTCCATGCACACTGTCTCGCGGTGCCCTACGCGACGACAGTAGCCGCAGATGTCCCGGTCGTGGCCGCCGTCCTTCTTGACATGCGCTGTAGACCCGCAACTGTAGCACTTGCCGCGCATGGTTAAACTCCTTGCGTGTACGGGTCGCATCAATGTCCATCGCGTTCGGGTCTCTAGTAGGCGGTGTGAAGGGGGTGGTATACAGCGGGACAGCCGGCTTGGTCGCGGTGGTGGTGGTGGTGGTGATGTGTCCACGCTGACGATCCCGTTCGGCACGGTGTTAGCGGACACGGACATCAATTTTGGAGGAGACAGTGATGAGGTCCTCCAACGAAGCGATGGGCCTTGCTGTGTGTATCAACTCATCCTTGATGGAGCCTGTTAGATGCTCGTAGAAGCGGTCTCGGAGGTCCACCTTAGAGTAGCCCGTGCAGGTGGAGAGCTCATTGAACCATGCGGCATACTCCGGAACAGTCATGGTACCTTGCCACAGCGTGCGGAGACGCTCCTTTGCGTCGACCGCCTCGTCGACCGTTTCGAAACGGGTCTTGAACTGGGTGCGGAACTTCATCCACGAGCCTTTGAACGGGGTGGTGCCCTGCATGATCTCTTCCATCGCCGGAGTAGCCCAGAGAGCTGCGCTGTCCTGCATGAAGGAGAGGACCGCCCTAATCCACTGGTCATCGCGCGCGCTGATTGCGTTGCCCATGGCATTGACGTGATTGAGCGTCGAGCCTTGAGACATGGCCCAGAGGGTGAACGCGGCTAGGAAACGTCGTGCCTCACCTCCTTGTTCACCTTTGAAGGGAGAGGGCTTCTGGACGGCCTTCAGACTGTTGGTCCTAGCGGTGTAGTTCGCAAGCTGCACCATGGACTGAGTGAGGAGGGTCATCGACTGGAGTAGCATTGCCATGGGGTTCAGAGGTTGCGTCGCCGTCTGGGTGCCCGGCTGGGGGTTGTTGGTGGGGTTCGTCGTCTGGAGTTGCCCCCCTTGCTGCTGTGGATGCGTCATGATAGGCGGAGCAGACGGTGGGTGAGTTGGCGGAGGGGTGGGGGACAGGGGAAGCGCAACGAGTAACGCTACTTCGAGCTTGTCGGACGGAGTACCAGGGATGGGAGATTGAGTTGTGGGTGACTCAGCAACGGGGGAATCGGGGACTGGGACGAACTCGTCCTCAAAGGCCCTTAAGTTGATCCGGGCTGGACGGTGATGACGGTTTGGGCAGGGGTTTTGCTCACACAGTTCCCAGTACCAGAGCCCGTCTGCTGGATCTTTTCGTCGGTGGCAATGAGTTTTGTCGACGGTGTCCCACGCGTGAAGTCTGCCAGTGCAGTCCAGGGTGGGGGAGACAATGTAGCAGCGGCGGGGACACTCTTGTTCAGAGTGTCAGCACCGGGGGAGAGATCTCGACCTAATGTCGCGGCAACTAGGTGCGTAGACTCAGGTCGACATTCGGCGACAACCCCGTAGGCGAGTGGCAAGGAGCCGAAAGAAAAAGAGAGAGATAGGGAGGGATAAACGTATCAAGAAGCTTGACGAGGGCAGAGCGGCGGCCGGCACGAGGGCACAAGACTGACGAAAGCTAGTCTTCACACAAGCAACAACAGACTAGTCCCAATGACCAAGTTATACATTAGCAATCAAAGAGAGATACTATAGTCACTCACCTAGTCCCAATGACCAAGAGGTCGAGATGGGGACTAGGGAGCGCCTAAGGGGGTCTTTATATACTAGAGGGGCTGCTTAGCAACCAAAGACAAGGCGCGAGAGTGAGGCAGTGAAGATGACAAAGGAAGAACAAAGGGCGAGAAGGAAAAGGCAAGAGCATAGTGATCATGGGAACGGAGCATGTGGCTGCGAGAGTGTATCTACGGTGTCCAAACTGGGATGGGCTAAGAAAGGAAATGGTCCGTAAATGGAAGGTAGGCGTCAAAGGGGAGGGAATGGGCGGCAAAAAGGGGCGCCCATCCAGCGTCCGTGACAATTAGAGCTACTATTCAGATGCACTTTTTCAGTAGTGCAACTAAGCACTAATCAGTATGCTTGGTACTAGTTATGACTACTCTTCACTATCACTTTTTCTATAGTGTCATGTAGTGCCAACATGATACCACTATAGCACTACTGCAAATGTGGTCCTCTAATTTTCGCTATTTTGCACTACTATAGTACTATTTTGCACTATTTTAGCACTACTCATTTAGGGGAGACTTAAATAAGATGTCAATCCTTTATTTATAGCTCATAGTTCTCAACTCAAGCATTACACGCCTCTATAGCTGCAAAATCACTATGATAGCTGACTTATATTTGAGGGCACAACTCAACATAGAACTTGTTATCATGTATAGGATTAGGCTATCAGCACAGCATTCATACCATGAAGCATACTCTATAGCACACTCCATATTATATACATAGTCCTAGACGTTACACATATGCAAGCCTCAGCAGGTGAATCTCAAGGTGAGGTGTCACCACTTTGTCCAAGTCTAGCAAAAATGGATATATATAGTACTTGTGAAGAGGCTTTATATGAGCTCTGGTGGTGCAGTGGCATAGAGCACCACCTTGAAACAGGTGTCATATGAAGGTGAGGTTGAGGGTTCCCATTTTTTTCATATATTTTTCCAGCACTTTAAATGCATCTGGGGCTTATAAACAGATGTTTCTGAGGTCATAGAAAGCATCTCTACATCAGTCAGAAATCATAGACCCACTCTATCCACTACTATCAACATCTACTATAGCACTATTTCCATCTACTATAGTGCTACTTTGCACGAATTTGCATTAATAGTGCAAAATAGTGCAATTATTTTTGGGGACCTCTCAATTTTGCACTATTTTTCACTATCCAACTACTGTGTCTATTGGGAGCTAATTTGTACTGAATAGGTGTAATTTGAAAAGGTGGTTTTTACAGATGTGATGAGTTCAAAATCATTGAAATGTGCCTTGGAATGTTGCCCAACACTCCCTGCAAGCCTGCAAGCCCTCATGTTCACTTGTCCTGACATGTCGGCAGCTTGGGTTAGGTTTTGGAGACTATATTGAGCTTGATGTGGCCAGACTTTCTTTCTGCACATCAATCACAAGTAGATGCATATGCATGTGTGTGTACACTGTGCAGATTACCCATAAGGAACCTTGCAGCAGAGAGGCTGGGCCGTCTATAAGCTGCGTGCTAGCTTTTGGCCACGAGCATGACAACTGCAATGACGAATCTTGAGCTCTCTGTGCATACTATGTATATTTTTATATATACGCAGTTAACACATATCTTGCCTGCAACTGTGTGTCCACACAGTCACTGCGTGATGGGTGTGCAAGCCTGGAAGAGCTCATGAATGGGTCAGGGAGCATGCACACGATGTGGCAATAGAGGCGCCAATCAAGTGATGTAAAATATACATATGTCATCAGATACAAGGATAATCCGTGCTTCATGGACATATTCTCCTCATCTGAGATGGTGGACAATGTCCAGGCAATGTGTAGAAAATGAGTAAACATTTGGAACATTAAATGCGCAGACAATGTCATGAGAATCCGCTCATTCTTTGCATGTTCTCCTCTCTCCATAATTTGACACTTCATGCTGTGAGAGTGCCTAACAAGACCGTTCATATAAGCCATTGCTGGTGTGTCACCTGTAGCAAAGAGGATAATTGGCTGTGAGAGGATCTCTTAGATCTTGAGTGGAGCATTCTGAAGGGCCACAATGTGATAGAGGCCAGGGAACAGAAAAGAGTCCAAGTTTTTGAGCTTTTTTGGCTCGGGAATGATAGTCCCAGGTAGGATGTACCACTTTTTATAGCGCAGGTTGGGAGCCAGATCAAACAAGACCCAGATGTAGATCTAGCAGTCAGATTATTTCAATTTGTAAAGTTGAGCGCCATTCAGAGATAGCATCAGAACTGAGTCATCTTCACGAATGGTGCCAGCCTCAAGAAGCGTCAGGTACTGCTCTGCAAAAAAATATCTTCTATGACTTTGACCATCTTAATGTGTCTGGAAGGTACAACACATGACCTGGTTTTTGCCATGTGTTCTGTAGCACAGGGTGAGACATTCCAAACAGCAATTGAGACTGGAGAAAGGACCTGTGTATGCTATATAGGTGTCAGGACAGACACATGTCAGTAACAATGGGTATGACACTGCTGATCTTGTCTCCAGTCCTGCCTGTTGAGCTCCGCTCCAGTCTCACTGTGATCAGAGCTCGTCGGCACTCCTGCCTGCCTCACTCGTCTCCACTTACTCGCTCGACAGTTAGTCATAACATTAGGTCAAAACTACCTCACAGGCACCAGCGCCCTCCCATGTTTAACACTCCGTTTATCACTGTCTCCCCCACCTTTCCATCCTGGATTGTAGCCCATTTTTCCATGGCTTTCATCCCGTCGCCGTAGAAGACCAGCACTACAACCACAACTATCAGTGGTGGCACATCTGCCCGAGCCAACCCTGCCATCAACGGTTGGCCAACAGGGACGACAGTTGTACCGACTGGTCCCAGTTCCCATACCACATATGACCTGAGGTGGAACAAGGTGCGCTCATCCAGGTTCGCTTGGCGACTCCCCTCCCGACGACGACTGAGTCAGGACGGCCGCTACGAGCAGCTGTACTTGTTGGCTGCAGTGGGCCTCAGAGGGGTCACAATGGCCTAAGTCGAGCTCTGTAAGTCTTTTCATTGCAAGGAAACTGTGCTACACACATAAGTCGAGCTCTGTAAGTCTTAAGGACTGCAGAGTCGACTCAGGCGCAGATGACGGCGCACAGAGCGCGTGGGAACTAGCTAACACGACCATACACTACGTGGCGCTGGAATGGCGCCAAACGGACCAGAAGTGCGTAAGGTAGACACTATTCTAGAGTGCAGTCAAATCTACAGAAATGGAGACTACTAGTGAAAGAAATGCGATATCTGTATGGAAACGAGAGTTGTGACTATACGAAAATTACCGTAGATAGCGGACAGTGCGAACTATGTATGGCACGATGCGCGACTTGGTGCGATTGAAATCGACGCCGCTACAGCACCGACTCCAACACTCCCCCCTAATCTATCAAGTCCCCAATCCAAGCATCTTCACCATCTCAAGCACCTTGGGCTTGGGCAGCGACTTGGTTAGGATGTCTGCTGGCATGTCAGATGTGCGCAGATGCACAATCTCAAGCTGACCCTTGGCCACCTCGTCTCTGAGCCAGTAGAAGCGCAGATCCAAGTGCTTCATCCGCCCATGGTGCTCTGGGTTCTTGGCCACAGAGAGAGC